GATTTTGTGGGGTTAGGGAATATTTAGAATTGGTGTAGGTGACACACCACCAATTCTGTTATTCTCCTCTCTACGGTACACAAGAAATGATAAAGGAGATGACAACTGTTTTTCTTCTATAATAACAGCTATTTTCTACATTTTGTACACTCCCCCTCAATCTAAGTTTACATAGATATTGTGTAAATCTAGATTGGATACAATACAAATACATGTTTAGGAAGAGATTTGGTTAATATATCAGCAACTTGTCGATTTGTGGGAACATGAATGATGTCTATAACACTGTTTTCGATATTCTCTCTTATGAAATGCAAGTCTATCTCCACATGCTTTGTCCCATCATGATAGACTGGATTCTTTGTCAGTCGGATAGTTGACTGATTATCACACCATACTTTTATGGGCACTCCTAGAGTTAGGTTTAGCTCTTGCAATACTCTCTTTAACCAGACACCTTCACATATACCATGGGCAAGGGCTCTGAATTTAGATTCTGTACTACTCTGTGATACCACTGATTGCTTCTTACTTCACCATGTAACAAGGTTACCCCAAACGTTAGTGCAATACTTTAAGGTTGACCTCCTATCATTGACTGAACCAGCCCAATCAGCATCTATATAAACTCCTATCTCCATATCTGTGTTCTTTTGGAAAAATAAGCCCTGTCTTGGTATTTTTTTTAGATACATGAGAATCCTGTACACAGCTCCTATGTGTATGTCAGTTGGTTGACTCATAAACTGGCTCACTGTGCTAACTGCAAAACTTATATCTGGTCTGTATGTGCCAAATATATGAGCTTCCCAGCTAACCTCTGATACCTCTCTTTATTAGTCAACTTGTCATCTCACTTTTGCCAAGTTTCACAGTAAAATCCATGGGTGTGTCTGGAGGCTTACAGCTGAGCATTCCGGTCTCCTTTAGGAGATCAAGTACATATTTCCAGTGAGCCACGGAAATTCTCTTCTTTGATTGTGCAATCTTCATGCCTAGAAAATATCTGAGTATTCTTAAGTCTTTTATATCAAATTCTTTGGTCAGGATCTCTTTTAATTTCTGAAATTTTTCACCATTATCCCCTGTAATTATAATATCGTCAACATAAATTATTAAGATAGGCTTCTTACCCGAGTCGCAGTGGTTGACAAATAAAATGTGATCTGACTGACACTGCTCATATCTCACTTGCTTGACAGCTCTTATGAATCTTTCAAACTATACCCTTGAAG